CCGAGCCTCTGAGATCAGTCTAGAAGTTTATTTTTGGTATACAAAAATTAAAGTAATGGATGACAATACAATTTCCTTTTGCTCACATCGCATACATTAAACMTTACTTCAAATTTTTTCTAAGTGTAAGTTCTCCCGAGGTGCCTAACATCCAGAATGGCTAGGCACGGTATTAGAGTAACTCGAGGTGATTGTATGCCAAGGCGACTAGGCATAGTATGGGATATAACCCACTACCTATGTGCCAACAAGGCATAATAAAAGATGTACCCGAACTGCCCATATGCCAAAGCGACTAGGCTTTATCGTGGTGTTGAGGTCATTACTAACTCGGCATAGGGGCCCTTAGGCTTAGAGTGACTCGACGTCCACTCCTCAGTACATAATTTAGCCAACATGTACTATTCATAGGGTGGCTTGACTAGGTCGCTAAAGCAGGCGGTCTTTGATACTTATAATAATGTTGTTGATGTTGCGGATGCTTGATTCCTGAGCTCATAAGTAGTACTTCCTTAGATTTTCGATGTTCTAGGCGCAAGGTACCTACCTCCCTTCCAATGTCTCGAGCTCGTATGTCCCTTCATCAAACACCCATTGTACTTTGTAAGGACCTTCCCAGTTCGGTCCCAACTTACCTACATCGGGCTCAGGTACCATGACTTTCCGAAGTACAAGGTCGCCAACTCAGAAGTGGCATCGCTTAACTCGAGCATTGTTGTACTAAGCTACTCGTTATTGGTAATCCACAATCCGGATATAAGCTAGGTCGTGTACTTCTTCGATTAGGTCGAGGTTGGTCCGTAGCTCATTTTTATTGACCTTCTCGTCATACACTTCCAACCGTAGGGTCGGTATTTTGATCTCGGTAGGGTGACAACCCCCATACCATACGTCAGATTGAATGGGGTCTCTCTAGTCGCCATCTTGATTGTAGTTCGAAAGGCCTAGAGGATGCTAGGAAGCTCCTCTACCCATAAACCTTTAGCTCGGGAAAGCCAAGCTTTGAGTCCATGGAGGATCACCATGTTCGTCACCTTGGCCTAACCATTTGCTCGTAGATGTGCTACCAAAGTGAAATTCTACTAGATTCCCATCTCAGTACACCAATTCTAGAACTTTATGTCCTCGAACTGCCTCCAGTTGTTGGATATCAGCACCTTCAGGAGTCCAAATCTGCATACTATGTTCTAGAAGAAATTTTGTACATTTCGGGCAATGATTGTCAGCAATGGCTCGGCCTCCACCCACATCATGAAATAGTCAACCAACACGACCAATAACCTTCTCTACCTGATCACTGGTGGAAATGGACTGAGGATGTCTATTCCCCACTAAGCAAAAGGCCACGGGCTGGTCAGATACTTAAGGACGGCAGCGGGCTGGTGAAGGATGTTGGTGTACCTCTRGAAATTATCACACTTCCAAACGAGCTTGAGTGCATCCTCCTTCATCATAGGCCAATAGAATCCTTGCCTTAGTGCCTTTCGGGCAAGCACCCTGCCCCCAGGTGTCCTTCATAGAGACCTTCATGAATCTCGTGTAGCACCTGACTTGCCTCTGATGGTCGCAAGCAGCGTAGATAGGGAAGCGTGAAGGGTATCCTATACAATCGCTCACCAATAAGGACATAAAGAGCTGCCTGACGCTATACCCTCCAAGTTGCGTTACRATCTACTGGTAGGGTCCCGTGGAGAAAACAATTGACAAGCAAATCAATCCAACTCAGTTTTGTTGTCAACAAGGGAGTGACCTCTTCTGCCGCCCTCACAATGCTAGGTTGTAGCAGGTCTTCAATGTATAACGTTCTCTTTGTGATGTCACTTGTGCTGGCCAGCTTCAAAAGCGTATCGACCTCTGCATTCTCTATCCTTGGAACTTGTTGGATGAACCAACAGTGGAAGCCGGGTAGGAGCTCCCTCACTTTGGCTAGATAAGCCATCATGACGGGTTCCTGAGCCTCATACTCACCATTCAATTAGTTTCATGACTAGCTGAGAGTCATTGCACACCACGACATATTTTGCACGGACCTCCTTCACCAAAGTTAGCCTGATTTTGAGTGCCTCATACTCTACTTCATTGTTTAATGCCTCAAATGCAATAGGAGCTCTAATAATAGATTAGAAAAGACATGATTTTTCTCAACTTTCCTAATATTTGATCATCTGAAGCTGCAATTTGGATGGGCCTAACCTGAGCCCAACCTGATCCCACCAGAGCTTTTGATGAATTGGACCTGATTTTTCAGGCTCTAGGTTGGGCCTAACCTAAACTCGGCTAGGGCTTGGGTAACTCAAACCTGGCCCTACCAAATCCGAGCCCAAGTGACTGACAGCGTATGTATGTATGATTACCATCACATATACCCTAGTATATTTTTAATTATTTAGAATATCTATATAATTAGCCTACAGTCACACCCATGCACAGCTATGTACAAAAGCAAACATATTATGCATTTTATTTTTATTTTTGCTTTATTGGAGGATTACATTTATATGCACATTTTCAAACTCCCAAATTGGGTTGGGTTGTAAGGCTTGAAAAGAAAAGTAAATGTTCAAAATATATTCAAAAATACTTTCAAACCTAAGCATGCCACCTGAGCTAAAGCCCAACTCAAATTGTGTTAGGTAAAGTTTGGATTGGGCCTGAGTRGCTGACTTTGGGGTACGTTAACCCTGATGTTTAAATCTTATGGTTGGGCCTAGGTTGACCTCCAACCAAATTCAACCTTCCTAAGTTGCACCCCTACTAAGATCTATGGATTTCTGGTTGGAATAAGAGATTTATGGGAAGTGCATTTAGGTTGTGTTTGGTTTGGTACAATTGCTGTTTTTACTTGAAACCATTTGGGTTGATCAATATAAATTGGCATATAATTGTTATTTGATGCTATTTATGGTTGAAATAGGCATACTTTAAAAATACATGTGTGAAAGGCTGTTTGTTCCAAGGGGTGAAATCTACTCATTCTAGCTGAAGTAATTCTCAAATATGATGTGTCAATACATCTTTCACCAATTTGTATTGATGAACCCAAAATGTTAAATGATTCCAAACAAAACCCTAGGTTTTGTTATAGGATCCACATTTTCATAAGTTGGGCTTGAGTTTTTAAGCTCTATGCCAAAAAGCTCGGGCCTGAACAAAACTCAAGTTACACTTGGGTTGCGGCCTCTTATAACCCGAGTTCTTTTGACATTGTATATTACAGATGTTTGTATTTATGACATGTATATGTGTAAGACATTGAATTTACTTAAGTGCATTAACACAATTGACTGGGCGTAAACGTGATTCAGACTGGACCGGTTCAGACTAATTGGTCATTTAATTTGCATAACATAAATATTATAACTTTTTGGAATAATAACTGAAGGTCAAATAGGAAAATAAAATATATAAAGGTTCCAGAATATTGAGGTCCAAACATTATAAATAGGACTTCATAGCCATATGAGGACCCATTAATAATATATCCATCAAACCCATTATGAAGGGAAATCCAGATTTTCCCTCTCTTCCTTTTTTATCTCTCCTCTAGTTCACCGCCATTTTCTCTAGACATTCAGAGCTTGACCACCATTGCCTAGGTACATCTGCTTGGCTTACAATATATGTGTGAAATATATATATATATATATATATATATATATATATATACACTATCATAAACTTTTAAACCCATGCACAAATATGTACAAATGAAATGTAAAGAAATAAAAACATATTATGGTATTCATTTGGTATGTGCATATTTTAAATTCATTCTACTCCTAAATTGGGCCAAAAATCCCAATAAAGATGGATACGCAAAAATTATTCAACAATACTTTCAAACCCCACTAACCCGCTTGAGATTGGCTCAAGCTTGGTTGGGACAAGCCCAAAGCTCATGGCCTGGGCCTCCCCACCAAGGCACATGATCTTGGACCGAGTTTTATTGGGTTAAACTCAGGTTGGGCTAAGCCCAAGCTTATGGGTTGGACCTGGGTTTGGGTTGATCTTCAATTCAATAAAACCTGTTCAAGTTTCAACTCATGTCATTTTTTATCTGCCCCCTAGTTCTTTTGGTCCCTTCAACTAACAGATGATGGTCTATCCCTAGTTCTTTTGGCCCCTTAGGTGTCTTTTCAGCCAAACCATCTTTGTTTATTTTACTCATTTTATTACCTATCGGAGCCACTCTTAGTTCCTAAAAATATGTTCACTTCCAAACCCTATCCTTTCAGATGTGAAATTTAACAAACTTCCAATGTTGTATCTTTAATTTGAATAATGTTATAGATTGAATCAGGATTCAACACTTGGGGTTTAATTTACAGTATTGGAAATGCAAGAAATATTGAAAGGACAATTTTAAAAGTAACATCGGGATATGCTTTGGATATACATGGATTGATGTGCATGGGTAAGTTGAGAAACTCAAAGTTCCCCAAGTTACACCAATGACAATAAATTTATGTTTCATATGACTATAAATGAGGTATATAGACATAAATAACACATTACTGTTTATGTGAAATTGGACTATTAGGAAACAATTGGAAAATGTTGAAAAGTGATAGAATAACTATGATATTCATGCATATTTTAACTGTTAAAAGCCAGAAGTATAATTGATGTGAACTCCAAACTCATTATTGATGTGTTATATTCATGTAGGCTATGTTTAGTAGAGAAACAAGAACTCTAGGAAAAGTTCTCAAGTAAAATTCCTTAGGTAATGTTTGGCTTGATAAAAAAACAAGTAAAATTCCTAGCTTATTTTCTATCAAACCAAAAACAGCCTAAAAACTATCCCTCAACTTTATATTTCTATCTTATTTTGCTCGTAACCTTATTCCGTTCTGAATTTGTTAGGATTGGAAAAACTGTGTTTTTGTATCATAGAAATAGAATTGATTGGATGGGAATAAAAACAATGAGTATAAAACAGTAAGTAATTAAAGAACAAAAAGAAAATAATTTGTGCCATTAAAGGCAGGGAGCTTGTATTCACTATTTACATGTACAGAGAATACAATTATTGTTGATTAAGATTATTGAACCAAATAACCCGTGCCCATCAAAGTTCCAACCATGGAGCTTAGTCATGCACTTTGTCACATTTACAGAGAACACAATGCTCTGAGATTGATCTGTCTACTACACTGCTTTGTCTATTACTCCAGATGTTAAATCTGTAAAATCTGAACTACTTGCAGTGCAGCTTCGCTGCAATCCAACTAGAGAAAGACAACGAATGGTCCCGTGTTAATCTACCTCCGCCGAGCTGAAGCAGATTTGCTACCATCCAGGTCATGCATGGAGCTTGACTTATTCAAGTGCTGTAAATATGTTCACATACAACACAATGATCAGAAATTAGTCTTCCTATGATGCTACCTTCTTCAATTCTTAGTCTCCCAGTCTGCCTGTTCCAGAGGTGAATTCCGTAAGCTTCCCCACTTAACTGACGTAGCTTTGCAGATACCCATCGCCTCATTTCTGGATTCCGCGGCTGCCGGAAAAACCCAGCTATCCAATTCCAGCCCACCGGATAGAAGGCCACTGGTGGCAGCACTGTGAAGTTACAGTAACCAGGATTTCTTTCGACCCTCTCAACCACCCTTGAAACCAGGTAAGGCCCATTGTGCCCCCATTTGTTTCCATCGAAATTGAGGTAGAATTCGTCTATGAAGTTTAACAGAAGCGGGTGATTCTTATCAAAGATGAGAACGGCATTGTTCAGACGATTCCAGCTACCTCTCTCTGTGTTGATGCTCTGTGCTCCGATTGAGTTCCTCAATCCCGAAAGCTTCTTCAAGACTATGAAGTCTGTGTCCATGTAAACACCCCCATACTTATACAACACTGCGAGCCTGAGAAGATTGGAGAGATTCTGAGCTACTGGGATCTTCCCAGGATCCCGGGTCCCCTTCTTCATCTCATCAAACCAAGCTCTGGCCGATGTGTTCTTGAACAGGTAAGGCAAATCTGGTGTCACAGCAACAACTCTGTACCCACGATCCTGAAGCGGTTTAAGAATGTGGGTTCCATGTCTGGAATCCATAGATCCAGATAGAATCAACAAGCATCCATGAGGATGAGCTTTGAACAGGCTTTCCAAGGCAAAGAATTCTCTCTGAGAGAAGGATTTTGCTGGGGCAATCCATGTCATGAAGAACTGCACCTCGCACCCACCACCACTGTCAAAGAAYTCCCGAACCCGCCTAGCAAATTGCAGTGTCAATCCAGTTGAAGGTAGTATGTTAAATCCCTGCAGTGTCCTCCTGAAAAATGCTGCCCTTTGTTTCTTCTCCTTCGTGACAGTGACAGTAATTTTGCTAGGAGAAATTACAGAATTTCTTAGGTCGTCGTCAATATGGTAGCTCTCATTGGCCTCTTCTTTCACAGAGAGCAGGGGTAAAGGTGAAGAAACTGATTTGAATGTCCGATGATGGTCATTCTGGGGAGGTGGGAAAACTTGGGGGTCTAGTTTTGTTATTGAAGCAGCAGAGCGGAGGAAGAGATTGCAGAGGGAACTGACTGAGAGGAGGAAGAGAAACAAGAAGACAGCCAAAGAGATGGTAGAGAAAACAGAAGATTTCATCTTATTATTAGAACAAGCAAAACTGAAGCTCTTGAGCTCTCATGGCGAACGGATTACCAATTGGAGTCGGAGATAGTTAAGACTCCAGTGCTTTCAGATTTCCATTTAAGATTGATTTTTTGAAGCTTTTCTCCATAACTGTGTTTGTCTGTTGACAAGATCAAGGGGAAGAAGTGACTAGCACCATCCTCAAAAACTTGCCAGATGTCATCATTTTAGATAATAGATACCACAAATGAATGGGCCCCACCAGAATCCAACCATAGAAAAATTGCCGAGATTTCATAGAATAAGTGGTCTCTTTCTTGCACGAGTGATTGCTGACGCAAATTCAAAGGATTGGTTGAGTCGAGAGCTGTCAATGGGTCGAGTTTAACTGACTGAACCGACCCGCGATTCCGGGTGTGAGTTTTGTGTCCGATTAAAAAGTTCAGCGGAGGTGATTGTAATTATTAAACTTCAGGGGCATTTCAGTAATTTACTTAATTTTAATGGTATAAAAATCTATGTTTTAAAACTCATCTACAAACAAAATCGTTTTTCTGTCCAAGTGGCAAGTAAGCAATTTAACCATTCGAACCAAATGCGTCAACCGATGCCATAATTAAATAAAAAATATAAAAATACCTAAAATTTATTCAAAAAATTGAGCACATCTCTAATATCATATATTAATTGTAGTAAGAAAAATAAGTGAGATAAACAAAAAATGTTTTTATTAATAATGGAAATAAAATTTGAAAATGGATAAAAATTGAAAATAGTTTAATATCATAGTCATTATTGTTATTGTCATCATCATCATCTAGAACTGCCATGTACAACATTTGCAAATTTTAATGCTTACCCAAAATGTTGGAATAATCTTCTTTTTTGACTAAAGGTAAAGGTTTTTTTTTTTTTTTGAAAAATAAATTCAAGTATGTTGATTTCAATAGCCAACACCTATGTGTTTTTTGTGATTTAGGGCCAAAAATTGTGATTTAATTTATATTTCTCATTGCCACTTAGGCGTTTATTTCAAAATGCTATTTGGTAAGATGTTTATTAGATAAACATTTGTCTCGTTTTATGTGAGATCCCACCATTGGGGAAACACCACTTTTAATCTGTCCCCCAACACCTAGTTATTTATTTACCATTCAACTTATGTAATGCCTAAGGGCACCTAATGACATCTAATGAAACCTATCTCTCAAACAACAATAAATGTTTATTCTTGTTTTTCAAGACAAATCCCATACAAACATTTCTTCAATAAATGACCACAGTACTAAGTACCAAACAACATCTAAGTGGGGACTAGTCCAATTCAATGTCTTATTGGTCCATCCAATCCATCGAAAATGACTTTGATATTGATGGGTTCCAACCCAAAATCAGTCGAGTGACACCCCTAGTGATAGATACAAACATGAATCCCATGATTAGAATCCACCTTTTTTACATCAAATAACTTGAGTGCAAAAGTTTGCATCGAAAAATACACAAGTACAGTCTTACTAACACTTGCAAAACTGAACCAAAATGCATATATACATTGAACCAGCATTTGCACTTTTCCCCAGTACATCCTTAGGCTTAGTTTGGAAGGAGTACAAATACAAATATGTACAATACAAATACATACAAAATAACACAAAATATAAGGTTTTGCATTCTATATATTTGTATTTGTACTCCTTCCAAACTAAGCTTTAGGCTGTGTTTGGTTGTAGTGCATTTTTATTTGCACTAGTACAAATGCATGGGAATGCAAATGTAAAAAATGCAAATCCTTGTTTAATTTTGTTTTGGATTTTACTTCATTGTGTTTCATGTCTTAATTTCCTTCATTTGTACTGCAACCAAACAAAATAAACCAAAATTCCAAACAAAAAATATGTCAGAATTTACACTCAAATCATTTGCACTGCCATGATTTGCATTAGTGCAAATTTATTTGCATTGCAACCAAACACACCCTTAGGAGAGAAATTGAAAGTTATCCTAAGTATAAATAGCATTAATAATCTATTATTGATGGTAAGTAATATGGGACCATGTGTAAATGTAGGATTAAATTTTAGAAGGGTGCTATATGAAAATAAATATTAATTTATTGGATAAAGATGCCTATAGATCAAATGCAAGGGACAATTTGTATTAATAGGTAAAGTCTAGGGAGTTCTAATGATATTTTCTCAAGAAAGAAAGGAAAAAGAAAACCATTCAGCGCATTTGAATCATTGATGCCCACTTTTCGTCAAAGACAATTTTCCAAGAGTTGGTTTAGATTCATGGTATCCAACCAGAAGCTTTGGCACTTGATTTAAGGGTGCTTTGGAGTTTGGACTTAGACTCAGTCTATTCCACCATTACTCAAATGCATAATGTCAATCAAAGTCATTGTTCTCAATTTCAAAATAATGGAAATAGTTTAATATGATATTCATTATTGTTATTGTCATCATCATCATCCAGAATTGTCATGTACAACACATTTTAATGCTTACCCAAAATGTTGGAATAATCTTCTTTTTTGACTCAAGGGAAAGCTTTTTTTTTTTTTTGAAAAATAAATTCAAGTATGTTGATTTCAATAGCCAACACCTATGTGTTTTTGCGATTTAGGGTCAAAAATTGTGATTTAATTTATATTTCTCATTGCCATTTAGCCATTTATTTCAAAATGCTATTTGGTAAGATGTTTATTAGATAAACGTTTGTTTCGGTTTGTGTGAGAGTCCACCATTGGGGAAACACCACTTTTAATCTTCCCCCAACACCTAGTTATTTATTTACCATTCAACTTATGTAATGCCTAATAGCACCTAATGACATCTAATGAAACCTATCTCTCAAACAACAATAAATGTTTATTCTTGTTTTTGAAGACAAATCCCATACAAAACATTTCTTCAATAAATGACCACAGTACCAAGTTCCAAACAACATCTAAGTCGGGACTGGTCCAATTCAATGTCTTATTGGTCCATCCAATCCGTCGAAAATGATTTTGATATTGATGGGTTCCAACCAGTCCAGTGACCACCCTAGTGATACATACAAACATGAATCCCATGATTAGAATCCACCTTTTTAACATCAAATAACTTGAGTGCAAAAGTTTGCATCGAAAAATACACAAATACACTCTTACCGAACACTTGCAAAACTGAACCATAATGCATATATACATTGAACTAGCATTTACATTTTTCCCCAGTACATCCTTAGGCTCAGTTTGGAAGGAGTACAAATACAAATATGTACAATACAAATACATACAAAATAACACAAAATATAAGGTTTCTCATTCTATATATATTTGTATTTGTACTCCTTCCAAACTGAACTTTAGGCTGTGTTTGGTTGTAGTGCATTTTTTATTTGCTCTAGTACAAATGCATGGGAGTGCAAATGTAAAAAATGCAAATCCTTGTTTAATTTTGTTTTGGATTTTACTTCATTGTGTTTCATGTCTTAATTTACTTCATTTGTACTACAATCAAACAAAATAAACTAAAATTCCAAACAATAAATATGTCGGAATTTACACTCAAATCATTTGCACTGCCATGATTTGCATCAGTGCAAATTTATTTGCATTGCAACCAAACACACCCTTAGGAGAGAAATTGAAAGTTATCCTAAGTATAAATAGCATTAATAATCTATTATTGATGGTAAGTAATATGGGACCATGGGTAAATGTAGGATTAAATTTTAGAAGGGTGCTATATGAAAATAAATATTAATTTATTGGATAAAGAAGCTTATAGACCAAAATGCAAGGGACAATTTGTATTAATAGGTAAAGTTAGGGAGTTGTAATGATATTTTCTCAAGAAAAAAATAAAAAGAAAATCATTCATTGCATTTGAATCATTGATGCCCACTTTTCGTCAAAGACAATTTTCCAAGGGTTGGTTTAGATTCATGCTATCCAACCAGAAGCTTTGGCACTTGATTTAAGGGTGCTTTGGAGTTTGGACTTAGACTCGGTCTATTCCACCGTTACTCAAATGCATAACGTCAATCAAAGTCATTGTTCTCAATTTCAAAATAATAATAATAATAATAATAACTACAAAATTAAGGATCTAGGGCCTAAAGTCAATGTTCTTACACAGAGATACAGCTTTTTAACAGGCAAACCGGGGCAATCAGAATATGACCAGTCCCTCAATTGGTTCAAAGGAGTTATTGAACCAATTTAGGTTGAAAACCAGATAGAACCATCAACCAAACCAGAATCAGCTGCGGCACTACAAAATCAAAATGGCCAAGTGATGGATAAACCTTAAAGGGTGATGATTTTTCCCCGTTTCTGTGTGAATTTGTGATTTTCTTATCTTTTCTCTGCTTTTGTTTATTCTTTTTGGTGAGAGAATTGACTCTGTTTTCCCATATATGATATCAGAATGGCTATAAAGCTAAATGCCAGCAACAAATCATGCAAAAATAATGCTCTGGTGGGTCTGAAGTCTGAGGTCACAGGCTGGAAACTGGGTCATCATAGCTTAAACAACTTGAAGAGTAGACTTACTTTCATTGGCTTGAGATTAAAATACATTGTTTAGATTGTCTCCGTCGTATATGTATGTGATGTTAGGTGAAGTGTCTCTAAGCTTACTCATTAGTGATTCTTTTTATGTTATGGACCACACAAGGAGTCCTTTTATTGATTGTAGGGCATATATAGAGAGTGGATTGACTTTGAGTAAGCATTAAAATTATGAGATAGGCTATCAGGTTATGCCATAGAATTTTATCAACAAGCTCAAGCCCACTCTTTACCTTTATTTGCTAAATAAGCTTCTCTCCAAATATGAGAATTTACCAATAATTAACACGAAAATTAAGAAAATGTTCTGTTTTTTCCCTTTTGGTAAAAAACTTGAGAAAATTTTCAGTAAAGTGATTGAAAACATTTTCTCATTCTATCATTTTAGTACCTATTTATCATTAGAAGTGAGGTCATGAAATGCAGGACTTTATGTATCCCCTGGTTTCTGCAATAATAGGTTATGTTCCAACCTAATTGGCCTTGTCCAGGCTCTAAGACTTGATGCAAATAGAATTTTGCTATCAATTGGGCTCTTCAAGTCCAGCCCATGTAGTGTTAAAAATTTTGGATTTAATGTTTTTAAGTGAATTCAATCATGGACTGACCTTGCGAATTGGAATCCAATTCCCCGCCCCACCTCCCCCCAGGCCAGTAAAATAGTCAATTAAGGSTGT